AGGTGGCGGAACATTGTCAATACAGTGCAAGACAACGGCACCCTCAAGCCTCAACCGTCAACCCTAAACCCTATTCCCGAAACCCCAAACCCCAAACCCTCAACCCTAAACCCCAAACCCTAAACCCTAAACCCTAAAACCTAAACCCTCAACCCTAAACCCTAAACCTTAAACCCTAAAGTAAACCCCAAACCCAAAACCCCAACCCCTCGAAGCAGACCACCTGCATCCAAGGCTAACACGCAGGGATCTGAGCGAGGCTTTCTTCTAGTCCAGAGACAAGCAGGTCGACTTAGCAGCCGAATCATTTCTCAGCTCCAGAGGAACATCCCGCTAGAACCCGCGAAGTCAGAAGGAACGTACTTCGATGGGGTGAGTTTGCGGCAGTAGCTGCCACACACGCAGCAAAGGAGCCAAGCGGGGAGCAGCTCTGAAGAGAACGAATTACAGCAGGGACTGAAGACGTGCAGCTCCAGAGACCCTAAGTGTCAAGTACACCTCCTAGCAACAGCCCTAAAAGACGAGTATGATGGATCCCAAACCCATAGCGTCTCAAGGCCACATAATCTGCAGAGGGCGCAGTGCACGAATTGTTGATGCCACATCGATCCTTCTTAAGTTTGACATTCCAGACTCCTCGGTGGGCAAGAGGAGGCGTGAGAGAGTGGCAGGGGGCAGAAACGGCCCCGAAAACAAAAAAAGCCGAGCAGCGAGGAATTGCTGAACAGGACCCCATGGTCCCGAGAGCGAGCAGAACCAATCGAAACTGCCTCGCAGATCTATCTGGGGACGTAAGGGTGATCGTGCGAAGGTTTAGGGTTTAGGGTTCACACAGCAGAGAACATTCAGAACGATTGGCATCAACATGCTTTTCCCAAAAACTTCAGAGCTTGTGAGGCGCTTGCCCGTCTGCAAGGCAAACAAAAGCTTACACGAATTAGCACCAGAAGATAGTGCACAGCATTGATATTTTCGATGGTGAGGCAAAAACCTCTCCAAAGGGTCAGGTTGAAAGCTCAGGTGGGACTCAGGTATCCTGTCTGCAGCTAGCAGAGCGAGTCTCTTCATGCAAGGAAGACCAGAGACGAAGCTTCGTCCGCCACTGGAACGCTTGCTCCTCCCACATCCTTTTGGACTTGAGCTTGTGGTCAGGTGTGCATGGAGGCGAGATGGGGTGTTTTGTACTCCGGGCTACCATGTCCTTCACCAGTCCGTACTCCTGCCTGCTCTTGATGACCTCTATGAAAAGCAACCTCTTTGTGGTTCTTTTTGCAGAGTAGACATCATTGGTCTCTGCGACTGGCTGCGTGTTCTCTTTGTCCTGATCCATGAAGAAAACGCTGGTTTGAACACGAAGGGGGGGCCTCTTTGAGCAAAATGCTGTGAATGCAAATGCTGGAAGAGCTGCAGCAGGTCTGTGCAAGGAAGTGTTTGCTCTGCACTGTCGCATGAACTGCCATCTTTGAAACTTCAGAACCAAAACCACGCAAATGCTTGACAGAGCCTGGCCAGCATTGGTCCTGCTCGGCCTAAATGATTTCCCAATCCTGAAAATTGTGAAGCCGGAGGTTGCTATGAGTGGACGTCAGAAACAAAGCCAGCAGGAGCCCAACGGTCACGGCGAGGCAAGAAAGCGCAGAACAAGTAGAAAAACCAAGAATCGTCGATATCAACCACCGCAGCCTGGGCATCGGATCTAAGGGTGAGGAAGAGCACATTCAGAGCAATGGAGACAATGTAAGAACACAAGAAAGCTCGAAGACAACAAGCGCCTGGTGCATGATGGGGCCAGCTGCGTAATCGCTCACCTCAAAAGAAATGTCCGTCGGCTTGAGAAGCAGCCAAAGCCCCAACAAGCCAAAACTTTGGGTTGTCCATGCAAATAACGAAAGAAGAGAGGCGCTGCAAAATAGACAGACACACACGCACAGACAGAGTCACCCTACCTGGAGCAAAACATCGATGTTGTCAATCAGACGACGACGTCTGGCGCGAGGAGATGAATCGTCCAAAGCAATGACAGTGAGCCTGCCATCCAGATCCTGGGATGAGCAACTATTCATGCGACGCACAGCAAGCGCCAATGAAGACAGGTCGCAGTATGAACCAAATGGGTGGCCAGGTCATCCAGCCTCTGTCTTATCCCATGGGTCTGCAAGAATGCCGGGGAATTGGCGGCCCGAATGGCCAATATCTTGGCCACCTGGGAAGCCAGCGAGAAAGGCAACCACAAAGAACAACTCACCATCGTGAGTCGAAAGAAAGAGAAGAGCAGAGAGAGAGAAAGAGAGAGTGAGAGTAAAGAGAGAAAGAGAGAGAGAGAGAGAGAGAGAGAGAGAGAGCGAGAGAGAAACAGAGAGGGAGAGAAAGAGAGAGATACGAGAGAAAAGGGAGAAAGGGTAAAGTAAAACATAGACCTACACCAAAAGAATGAGAAAGAGAGAGAGGAAGAAATAGAAAGAACAAAAGGAAAAGCCTAAACTAAATAACCCTAAATAACCCTACATAACCCTACATAACCCTAAATAACCCCAAACCGTAAACCCTAAACCCTAAACCCTAAACCCCAAACCCTAAACCCTACACTAAACCTTAAACCCTAAGCACTAAACCCTAAGCTTGAAACCCTTACTAAACCCGAAACCGTAGACCCTAAACCCTTAACCCCAAACCCTAAACCCTTAACTGCAAATTTTGCCAAAGCAGCAGCAGCTCCAAAAGTCCATGTGTAGGCCTGGCTGCGTCGCATCCTTGCACCACCAGACCAGGAGCCGCCCAATGACACGGACGCGACAGGTGTAGTCGCGATTGATAGGAACCTAAGCGAAAACGGGCAATGATGAACAGGAAAGTTCAGGCATCGTCGCAGGATCAAGCACAGGGTGGCTCTCGCAGTCACTGCCTCAATATCTCTGGAGATCTTTCTCTTTCTCTCTGCTGTGTCTCTGTTCTCTGACACTATCCATGTCCGTAAGTTTTCTTTCTTTCTGTCTTTTTTGCTTTCTGTCCTTTGTTCTTTCTTGGCGGCTCCTGCTTCTGTTTAGGGTTTAGGGTTTCTGCAGCACAATCTCTGAAGAGGGGCAATCCGAGCGCGTGACGTAACATGAGCCCGATGCACAGGGTTTAGGGTTTAGGTTTCGGGTTGAGGGTTTCTCTCTTTCTCTATTTCTCCCTTTCTTTCTTTCTCGCTTTCTCGCTCGCTCTGTCTCTCTCTCCCTCTATCTCTCTGCTCCCTCTCCCTGGTCCATCCACGTCAAGAAACTCTCGGGTGAGAAGATGATGCATGGACAGGTACCGCAGAGCAAGCAGCAACATTTTGTCTGTTCCAGCCAACTTCGTCGGCTTCCTTGGTAATTACAAAATTGTTGTCAAGCTCAAGAAACAAACAACCAACAGCAGGAACAACCCGTCCAAATGCAAAACAAAGGCACACCGACTCGTGACCAAAGCACCCCATTCGGACACTCACGACTGTGTAGAGGTTCCTCAACATGGCAGCCTGGCAGAGAACAGGGAACCCACGGGGTGTAGGTACTTGTACATACAGCCAGAAACACAGAAGAAAAACATGGCCTGGAGGTTTGGGTAAAAGAAAATTCGGGAGGAGGCCGGCTGCTCGATGATGTGCCTCGCCAAGATGGTGGCCAGAAAGTCTGCGAGCTCAGACTCGAAATCCTCTCATGTGTTTGAATGATAGCCACACGAGAAAGAAAACTAGCGTGACAGTACCTTGCACATACCCCTATTTTGACTTGACAAGAAACTGCCATGTCGTTGCCCTGCTTCACAGCAGGCACATTGGTGTCGCCGGAGGGGTCAAGATGTCTCCCCCTAAGAAAGCTCGTGCAGATGACCAAGAAGAAATTGAACATGCACACTGGGCAAAGCTAACACACCTTGCTGCCAGAAAACGTGACACTGAAGCAAGCTGCCACCCAACTCGAGCACTTGATTCCGGACCAGCAGAGGCTTCCCATCTTGAGTCTCGATGCCAGCTGGATGCCTGGGTGTACTTCAAAGTACCACCACGCACGCAAACTGATGATCATTCTGGAATTACAAACTATGATCAACCGAGGAGCACCTCACTTGGCCCTGGTACTCCAGGATGTTCTCTACCACGCTATTCTCTAGCTCGAATGTGGATACTATCAATCCAGCCTGCCAACATGCAGCCCATGTGGGATAAACAGAAACGGAACACAGGACAAAACGAAATATATCAGTTCCAAACCCAAGCCTGGGCCACAGAAGAGCTCAAGCGACCCTTTCCGCTGTAGATCTCCAGCAAATCCAGCCATCTTTCACTCGAGTGGGGAGCCCAGTAATCGGGTGAGGCCACCCATGGGCAATGATTCGCCAAGATATCCCGAAAGCGCTGGGAGAGATGAGAGAAATGGTCCATGGCAGAAAGAGAACCAGGAATCTAACAATCTGGAATCAAACAAAAAGCTGCCGGGAGCGGGCGAGCGTTACGAGAGCAACACAAACGCCAACTGAAATATGAGAAACACATATTCGACACATCTGGAGCAGTTACAAAGCAAAGTGAGGCAGGATCAGGCTGACAGTAACAAAAGGTTGAGGCAGCACGGTGTTTTTCTAGAAGCACGATGTCTGAGGGAGCATGGTATGGGAACCCCTTGAAAATTTGGGGCGGCTTATGGTTTAGGGTTTAAGGATTTTGGCACCTACCGGGCGGATCAGCGCGTGAGGATGCTGTCAAGACCCCGAATCACACGGAAAGGTTGCGACACGCGATGATGGTCAATGACCGGAATTCTCACGACTAGCCTATGTCCCATGAACTGCCAGCGCAACCATGACATGAATGCTCTTTCTTTTTGGCTTCAATCCCTAAGGCTCCACATAGCCCAAAGTAGGTATCATTTGCAGACTTTAGACCCCGATGTAGGTATTATTTGTATACTTGGAGCGTTAGGGAATTGTTCCGAGAAACAGGCCGAGACCACCACCGGAATACCATGGAACCCTGTCAGGGCATCCTCAACGAGCTTATCCTCGGGCCCCACTCTTCAGGAGGCTTGGGAATTCGGTTTAGGGTACAGGGTCTAGGGTTCTAGGGGTCTAGGGATCTAGGGGTTTAGGGTTCAGGGGTCTAGTGGTTTAGGGGTTTAGGGTTCAGTATTGGTCACCTGGCAGAGTCACAGCAGGCCAGATGCAAAAGGGTTCAGGGTGCCGACAGCGCACTCTCCGTGACTTTCGGGACTGGAAGGTGGTTCCAGGATGAGCGCGTGACCATGCCAGGAAGCCCTGTTGTCGCTGGAGTCGTTGTGGGGGAAGCGAACGGGGATGCAGCGGGCGGCAAGCCAAGGGAGGTCGATGCTACCAACCTGCAAGGAGTGCATCCACACATTGGTTTCTGGGGCCATGTACACAAGACTTTGGGGACCATCACTTAATGAAGGGGTCTCACATCTCCCAAGACATCCGGCATTAAGGGCTGGGTCTCGAAGGGTTTGGGGCCAAAACGCTGTGAATCCAACCTCCAAACTCCCGTTTATCCCCGATTCTCAGGTGGTGGCTGTTAAAATTATGGTCCCTCTTTGGATCCCTACTATAATACGGCACCTACTATGTTTAGGGTACCCCCAAAAGGGATCGGAATTTTGACAACCACCCAGGTGGCAAATCAGAATCTCCGCAGAGCGGCCCATCGAGGTGGCTGCGGGACGATCTGGGGGCTTTGGGACTTTGCTCCAGTTGTTGTCTGGTATGAAAAATCGAATACAAAGAGTCATAAATTTGCAAAATAACTGATGTACTTCATATACAAAATGGTAAGGTACAATAATAAGGATAAACATGATCGAATAATTGTCATAATCGTAGTAATAGTAGTATGAATACTAACAAAGCTAATGTGTCGGACTTTGCTCCAATGTTGTGGTGTCCTCGCTCTACCGGTGATGGGCGCAGGCGACGCTTCAGACGCGCGAGAGCGCGAAGCATCTTGGCAGGGTTTAGGGTTTTAGGGTTTTAGGGTTTTTAGGGTTTTAGGGTTTTAGGGTTTTAGGGTTTTAGGGTTTTAGGGTTTTAGGGTTTTAGGGTTTTAGGGTTTCAGGGTTTCAGGGTCTCAGGGTTTCAGGGTTTCAGGGTCTTAGGGTTTTAGGGTTCTAAGGTTTTAGGGGTTTAGGGTTTTAGGGTTTTAAGGTTTTAGGGTTTTAGGGTTTTAGGGTTGTAGGGTTTTGGGTTTCAGGGCTTCAGGGCTTTAGGGCTTTAGGGTTTTTAAGTTTAGGGTTTCAGGGTTTTAGGGTTTCAGGGTTTTAGGGTTTCAGGGTTTTAGGGTTTTAGGGTTTCAGGGTTTCAGAGTCTTAGGGTTTTAGGGTTTTAGGGGTGTGAAGAGACCTGGATGCACAAAAGGGTTTTAGGGTTCAGTGGTTTGGGGTTTAGGGTTGAAGGTAGATGTCGATGTCTTGCTCTGCTCTTTTTGGCCCTGGCCGTGCAGGAGCCGCCAGAAGGTGCAAAGTGCACAGTTTTATCTTCCAGAGCTCGTGAGTCCAATCCTGTCTAATCCTTTTTGCTAAGAAGGTGCTGGGCACGGTGCGTACGCGTTTCCTCGGTCATAACTCCCCCCCCCCCCCAATGTCCTAAACAACTCTCCATCTTGCCTGCGCATACCACCATCACCCGTTCCTTTTCAGCATTGCAGACTTGGCTTGGCAGTAGTGTTCAGCTGTTGTCTTGGCACCTTTTGTACAAGTCCACAGGCACACAAACGAGATGATTCTCGAGCACGATTTACTTTCCGCGTCTACGGTCGGCCACTGAACGGCGAGGACGGGTAACATTTCCAGCAAATATGGGTATCTTCCAAAATAGGGTCCCCCCCTTTTACACCCCAAAATGGAATCCCCTGAAAGGGATCCCCAAAAAGGGTAGCCCTATTCTCGGAAACCCCATATACCAGCAAATTGGCACCTTGCGCCGCTGCAAGGGCTGCATCGATGCCCTCAGGACATTCCTCGAGGGCGTGTGCTGGGTCGCTACTTGGGGCGCCGGCCGTCGAGAGAGCGCAGTCTTCCGCAGTAGGCCGGGACAGCTTAGGAGGCTTCATGTGTTGGACCTTCGGAGTGTATATAGATGAAGGTCTCCTTATAAGACGCTGATTTCAAGATATTACAAGGATCCCATTATAGGCCAGCAAGGAGAAGATTCGGTGGGCCCGCGCAATCTTGCACAATCCCTTGGCAGGACGCTAGTCCAATCGAAGTGTTGAAGACGCAAGCTTTGCCAGTGATCAACAGACCAAAGAAGGGCTGGCAAACTTGGCAGAGAGAGGGGGAAGGTTGGAAGTATGCCCGAAGTGGTGCAGGACGTGCGCGCATGAATGATTTCGAGCAAGAGGGAAGGAGAGTCCGCAAGGCCTCACGCCTTCAGGCGTAAGATGTCGGCAAGTAAATCCAAGTCTTAACGTTTGAATCGCGAACCTCTGTCAAGTCTGCGGAATTCTTGTATATCAGGACTGTGCTTCTCAGAAGTGGATCCTTGCCTTTGAAGAGACACTGAAATTTCATGGCTTGGCGGATCATTGTAGCCCACGTTAGCCCACGAAGTTGCAGACCTTGTGCAGGGTGTGCACATCAGCGGCATCAGATGCGTGGTGTGCCGGCCAGAGCTGCTGCGGGATATTTTGACAGCTCATGACCTCTGTGGTAGGGCGAAGATAGTTGTTGTCACCCAGTTCTCTGAACATGTGGCCAGGCACATTGGACATGTTCTCGTTGCCTTCTCACAGCTGGCCCTCAACCCTAAACCTTAAACCCTAAACCCTAAGCCCCTGAACCCTGAACCCTGAATCCTGAACCCTGAACCCTAAACCGAAACAAAAAGTGAAAAAGGTCTCAAAAATCGGGGTCGATCGGGGAGGTGCTCCAATTGCATTGTTTGGCTCAGGTGCACCTCCAAGCTGCCAATGGTCTTGTAGGGGGCCGGTGGAGAGCTCGGAGTCTTCGCGTTGAGCCATCAACTCCGCTTATAAACTCAACAAGAAATTGCCTACCCCAGCAGAAGCGGGAAGAAATATCGCTTACTGTGAGTACTTATAGCTCATAGACTGATAGACTGAGACAACATCTTCGCGCCAAGTTGTTTCACTAGCCTCGGGGCTTTCCATCGCAGTGCGGACAGCACAACGACTCTCCAAGTATGGACTTAGCTGGGAGTGCGGGCATCATGTTTGTGACACTTGTCAACACTTGCAGCCTAGCGAATGACACTTCGCTTTCCCCACCATGATGCTGCCCACTGCATTAGCACGGTGTCCTCAAAGGAAGCCGTCGCTGCATAAGGGTTTTGTGCATGACTCCGGTGGACTGTGAACCGCCTTGAACCACCCAGCAGGATGGGATGAAAACCTACTGCCACAGCCCGAAGCATCTGCCAGAGTGGTTCTGGGCGTTCAGTGCCCGGGAATTGTCCCAGGGTGACCACCTCTTATGGGCAGAGCCGGACGCAGAGTGAAGGTCCCGCCTACTGCTAGAATCCTAATTGTAGGCATCCAAGAAGGGCACTCCTATTTTCGATTCCCCCCCCCAATGTTATGGGTGCGCCGCGCTCCCGGACATCTGCTGCATGGAGAATTCACTGTGACCTACGTAGCTGCAGCAGGCTGCAGCCACTTGGCTTCTTAATCGAGCATTCAGCATGTGAGCATGTCGAGTCATCTCGAGTCATCTGTTGTTTGAACCCTTGGTGTTGGGCCCGTATGCCTCGTAGAGCTGGCAGACTAGTCCGCAATCCCGTACCCTAAACCCTAAGCCCTAAAAGCACAGGGGTAATGCATGCCAGGGTCCGACCAACGCTGAATGTCCGCCTGGCACGATCACTTCAAGAGGATTGTTGCCATCCGACCCCCCAGTACTGCTGCCCAGCACGTGGAAAGGGCTCAAGATGGCATTGATGTTACACCCTCAATCCTATAAACATAAAACGCTAGAAAAACGATTGAGATCGGCGAAGTGGGTGGTACAAAAGCATAGCCCCAAAAAGATAAAGCAGGAGTTGCCCCTGCCTTGCAAAGAAGCTGTTGCCATTCACAGAATCTGGGCGGCAGCACAAACTGCCAGCCCGGTTGACGCGGGCCGGACAAAAGGCTGATCCTTGGCGCTTGTTGACTTCCGAATCACGACAGGTCTGGAACCACCAGAAGCCTTTGAGAAGCTGAATTGTTCCTGGTTTGCCCCGAATCTCGCACTCCTGCAACACGGACGATAAAACCTGTGAGAAGTGCGGCGGCTTCATCAAGCTAGCCGCTGAGAGAACCCGCAGGGCTTGGGCGTCTACGTCAAGGGACTTGACGGAAGAGGCTGAGCGGCCATGGAAGGGGAAAGGGGGGAGGGCCCTAAACCCTAAGCCCTATAAACCCTAAACCCTAAACCCTTCAAGGGTAAGGCACAGCAAGCTAGGGATGGCAGTTGCATCTCCAGTCGCATGTCTTCCTTGCATGCGTTGCAACACACCCATGTGCCCTGGCCACATGTCCTGGCTCAGAATTAGCGATACTTTAGTTAGTTTGTGGCCCAAAACAGAGCCATGGGACAAACCGAAAGCTCTAGCGAACGGATGCCATCAGGCTGCATGAGTCTTAGCTGCATAGGTCCACTGCCTCCGAACCAGAGCTCACCTTTCAGCTGGCTCTGCAGATTGAGCTGTCGGAAGTCACTCAGAAGTGCCACCTAGGAGCGGACTTGGATCCGTCCTGCTCCTGGGCTGCAACTTTGAAGTACACTTGGGAGGTACATGGTACTTTTTCAGCAATCAAAAACTGCACTTATAACCCACTTTTAAGCCCCTTAAGTACAGTTATAAGAATAATCACTTACAGCTGCACTTACAACCCACTTTATAAGCCCCTAAGTACAGGTATAAGAACAGCTATACGTGGTTTTTTGAGTACCATGAACCTCCAAAGCGGTGCCTTCACCCTGAGCAAACTCAGGCGACCACAGACGACGCGCACAATCTCGTGAAGGTCACCGTGCGAACGCTGGGTGGCCTTCGGACGGCACTGCTTTCAGTTCCTACTGAAGTCTAGTACTGCCCCCCCTAAACCCTAAAACCCTGAACCCCTAAATCCCTAAACCCCTAAATCCCTAAACCCTCAAGCCCAAAACCCCTAAAACCCCTAATCCCCTAAACCCTAAACCCCCCCCCCCCCCCCCAAAAAACACACAGAGTGCAAGGATGCGCTTGCCTGCAGCAAGGTGAGAGTCGAACGATGCTGTTGCCCGTGCCTTTGCCTGCAATAGGGATTAGCAGGAAAGCTTGCCTGCAGCATCCTTCCGTGCCCTGAGGACACATCAACTGGCAGGCTGGTAGTTATTCAATATATACATATTATATGTTTTACATACTATGTATATATGTATATATATATATATACAGATATGTTTTATACTTTTATACTGTATTTGCAGGTGTTTTGAGTTAATGATGTCGTGGCCGTGGAAGGCAGCAGTCTCTTCCATCCTCGCCAGGGCATTAAAATCAAATGAGGCAATTTGGAGCCCTCACATGTAGCCTTTGCTGTCTATCGCCTTCCTGTACAATCCTGAGACCAAGATTCCCTAAACCCTAAACCCTAAAGTTTCTAGACAGTGCATCAACTGGCAGGGAGATCAAGGCGTTGGTCCGTACCCACCTTGCCGTTCCGGAGTCTGAACAGCGCTTGGCGTGCCAGGGGCTGAGGCTTGCCAGATTCGAAGGGGGGATGTTGCTGTTCTCTGATTCCACGCGCATGTCTTGAGTAGCTTTGACTGTCAACTTTGCTGTAAACAGCAGACTGTCAGGTGCAACGAGCTGTGCTGTGCTTGTGCGAGCTCATGTTCTGTTTCTCGAGTGATAAAGTGGCCGGCGAGGATGTGAAAGGTACGCACAGTGGTTGGCACAGACAGTACGTGCACAGGCACGCAAGGCAAAAAGCAAGCATTTGCCTCTGCCAGCTAGAACCCGTCTGCAAGCCAACATGCACGCACCCCAACAACAAACCGAGCAAGCGGCAACCGCTTCAGAATGAGCTGCACATGTTCCTCTGAGGTGGTGCCTCGCTTGTGGAAGACGTGACATGTCCGCACAGACCAAAGGTCTGAAGATTGCCAGGTGCGTTGCATCAGAAAGGTCATATATGAAGAAATATATGGAGGAATGCTGAGAAATGCACAGCGAATTGCCCTTGACACCCATCTTCTGAGCGGAATGACGCAGAATCGTCTTGCTTTTGCTGGACCTTCCAGGAATCCCATCCCCTCCGTGACGAGACGAACATCTGCTCCATGGCCACAAGATGGACAGCAGCAACAGTTCAAACGCCAATTCTGCTGGGGTTGCGGAATCCTCATTCCAGAATCCCTTTCCAGGATGGCCCCTGAAACAGGCCCCTTTAAAGGGTTGATTCATGGGGATTCTAAGGCTTCATAGCCCATCCTGGTTTGCAGAAGGGCTATGAGACTGAGAGCAATAAAGCAAGAGCCTCCCCTAAACCCGGGTGGCAAAAAAAATCCCTAAACCCTAAACCCTAAACCCTGAACCCTAAACCCTAAACCCTCCAAGGCCTGGATGTGATTCGCGTGCGCCAACCCCGTCGGTTCAGGACGACGGCGAGGTATACGAATGCCCGTCCCAGGGCGTTTAAGGCTTTGGTTCTGCGCAGTTTGAGGGGTGTTCTGTGGTTTGCGGGCTTCTGGTTCCTTTCCGCATGGGCCGGTTGTTTGCCCTGTGGTGCTGCCGGCTAGTCTAAACGCAAGTCCTTAGACGCAGCGACAGCGGACACAGCAGCAGCGGCAGCAGACACAGCGGCAGCAGCGGCGGCGGCGGCGGCGGCAGCGGCGGCGGCGCAGCAGCAGCAGCAGCAGCAGCAGCAGCAGCAGCAGCAGCAGCAGCAGCAGCAGCAGCAGCAGCAGCAGCATCATCCGCACCATCATCCGCACCATCATCCGCACCATCATCCGCACCATCATCCGCACCATCATCCGCACCATCATCCGCACCATCATCCGCACCACCACCGCCACCACCACCACCACCATCACCACCATCACCACCATCATCATCATTATCATCATTCTTCACGCCTGGCAAGAACCCGACATATGACAAGTGAGCAAGAAGCCTCTTGGAAGCTTCTGAGTGGGCTCAGGTATTGGCACCTTGTCTACCCGCCTTATCGGCCAGAAGCTTCAGGTGCGGCGGCAGCGTTGAGGACTGTTTGCGAAGGGCAGTTGCAGTCCTTGTACAGGGGGCACTCCAACGAAGGAGCTTCTGTAGCCCCATCCCATATGGTGGATCTTCGTCCTTACCGCACTGCACATGCAGTGGACCGTGTTGTAAAGTCTGCAGCCAGCGTGGTCGTTCTTCGTTGTTCTGCTGCTGCGCACCCGTTCTGGTACAAGGGTCCGGTCGCAGAGAGTTTAGTCGACAGAGTGCTTTTGTTTCACTTCGGAGTAGCCGTGATGTACAGACAGTTCCTGACCAGGGGAGCTGGGCGGACTCTCTCGAAATGGAATGGTATTCAACTGTAATTACTGCGCGCGCCGCGTAGAAGAGACGTGAAGGCCGCAGGCGCGCGCAAATGCACAAACGTGCGAGGGAAAAGACCGCAAGCTCGATCATCACAAGCTGCGCCTTGCACGACGGACAAGTTGCCGAGCACAGAACTTCCGGCACTTTGCTTAAGGGTGCCGCCGTCTCCGCAGCACTTTTGACACAGGATGTGAAATGTTATAAGTGCATGCTCATATCGTCCGATCTTCGATGCCGACAGTGCCTCAACTTCTGAGGCAGGGAACCCAACCCAAAAGCGAAACCAGCATCAGATCGGCCTGCAGGTGCTCATGGCAGTCGATTAGGAGCTCCTGGTGGTCTCAGACGTGGACGTTGCGTGCCAAGTGGCCCCGTTCACGATTTGATTCTTCAGCTGTGGTGCATGTGCCGAGAACCACTCTGAGACAACATCCAGGCTGTTTACAACTCCACTTGGAATTCATGAGTGCATGTAGCTACTACGAGTAAGTCACCTCATGATAGGGCCGATAGGGGCCTGGGAGGCAATGTCTCTGACTAAGGCCAGCAGATTGCAAGGCCCGATGAGCACCCTGGCTGCTGTAGGTGACTTCTTGTGCAGCTTTGCGGGTGTCCTTGATTCCACCACGGCGGCCTGCATGAGCCTCATGCCCCGCATGAGGCCTGCGCGCCTTAAGTGCCCTGAAACCGCACACTTTGAGGTGGTGGAGCTGACGTCACCGAGCCCGAGTCACTGGCCAAAGAGCTGCCGGATGGTAAGGTTGGGCACCCGAGAAGATGGGCAAGAAGCCCTGAGACCGCGAAGATTACCCGTTGTGTCTGTCAGTAGAGTCACGTGAGTCCCCATTTGAAGCGTGGATACCCTAAACCCTAAACCCTAAACCCTAAACCCTAAACCCTAAACCCTAAACCCTAAACCCTAAACCGTGGCTCTGCTCTATAAGGACCTCGCTGACGAAGCACGGAAGCGGCAAGCCAGGAACCTGGCGGAGCTCGAGGCCGCTTTGCAGGTTGTCGTCGCAGTATGGGATGTTTGGCAGGGTTGCTATATAGGGTTTAGGGTTTAGGGTTTAGGGCTTAGGGTATTATATATTTTTGTTCATGTAAAAACCCAAGAGAATATTAAAACCACTATTTTTATTAAGGTTCTAAGGGGGGTATAGGTTGAAGGTGGAGCTTCCCAAAGAGACCAATACCCCAAAATCACGGAATATTCCTTGAATCATATTCAGGATCCCTTTGTAATCTAAGGTATATTCCATCACCTGAATGAAGGGGTATTGGGCCCTCTGAGTCTTGGAGGCATAGGTGCTGCTGACCTGAGTTACGCTCTGCTCATTTTCAGTATACCCAGTGTGTGTTGTTGGAAAGGTATGCATTTGGAGAGTGCAGAAGAGTCATGTATAATGTATGTATGTAAACTTGTATGCAAATGATTCAAAAACCATCATTCCCCACATCTTATGTGTGTGTGTATATATATATTGTTCTGGTACCCTGCGTGGGTGCGATGTCTGTATATGTATGTATGTACATGTGTGATTCAGTCCCATCATGATCCTCATGCTGACAGCCGTCTTTCCAAATAACCGAGATTCAAGGGTGGCTGCATTTTCCTGGCCCCGCCAAGAGCTCAAGTCACTTTGTTGAGCATCCTTTGCTTGGAGGTGCTAATGCGCCAAGCACGTGAGCAGGATGAAGAAGATCAGTGCCTGACTCAGAGGCTGTTACTTGGGACGTACCCCGCTATGCGAACAGTCCTGAATAAGGATATATAGTACCCCCTATTGTAATCCCAATTAAGGACTGTTTGTATACGGGGGAACATCCCAAGCTGTTACGCATTCTTTTGCAAGTTGTTGTGAACAGTTTCTTCTCGTATCCTGCGGCTTGTGGTTTCATGCCCCTGCACGCGCATGTGCGTACAGCGGTGGGAGCTCGCAAGCAGGCTGACTTGTAGAAACTCATCTGAATCACACGGCGACTTCTAAACATGTGCGGGACCATGTTGCCCAGGTTCTTCGAAACCGTGCGACGCCGGCGCCAGGGCGACATATCTCCGGCTACTGTGACCAAGGCCTGGTGGGACTGAACTCACCCTAAAAGGCTCATGAACCCATTAAAACCCTCGTGGGACTTAGGGTTTAGGGTTCAGCAGCTCCGGTCGAGCAGCTTTATGATAAAGTTATATTACGGCTCTGATATAGCACCCACCCACCCAGAGAATCCCATAACATTGAGAAAGACAAAAACACAAGTATTCTCCAATCATCTCAGTTTCAAAGGCCTAAACGAACAGACGCAACAAACACACCTAACATTACTAACTTCATGTTCTTGCCATTGCATCTCTGGGTTGGCCTCCCCAGGGCCTAAGTCCGGGCCTTGAGGCCCAGAAACCCTAAATTCCTGGTCTTGAGGATTATGGGTCTCAAACCACGGGCCTTAAACCACGAATTATGGGCCTTAAACCACGGGCCTTAAACCACGAATTCTGGGCCTTAAACCACGGGCCTTCAACCACGAATTATGGGCCTTAAACCACGGATGATGGCCTTAAACCACGGGCCTTAAACCACCAATTATGTTAAACCACGAAATATGGGCCTTAAACCACGAACTATGGCCCTTAAACCACGAATGTTGGGCAAGCCACGAAACTGTTTCGTGGTGTAAGGCCCATATATATCCGTGGTTTACGGCCGAAAGGAACGCCTGGCCTTAAACCACGAGTTGTGGGCCTGAAACCACGAATTATGGGCCTTGAACCACGAATTATGGGCTTTAAACCACGAAGGTCATTAAGGTTTAAATATATGAAAGAGAGGTTTAGGGTTTAGGGCACTACAAACATCCGTGCTTTGTGCGGAGGCTCGTGAGGCAATGGTTGTACTGGATATTCATGTCGTGCAGGCGGCGAGGGAAGCTGCTGCACCCCACTTGGATGTGCCCAAACTGCATTTTTCGGTATTTGATATTGTGTTGGAGTTCCGCGATGTGTTTGTGTTGGGTCTGTAAACTCATGGCAATGGCGGCTGTGGTGCCTATGCATTTGAGAGGCTTTAGCAAAATGCGGATTTTCGGGTCCGCGGGCGCGAAACGGCGAAACCCAAGCGGGAGCACATTTGGAAGAAGCAGCGCAGGCAGGGAAGGTGCCCGAAACACACAAATGATTGAAGTAAACTTGGGGCCTGACTGCGTTGTCGCCTACCCTTCAAGCTCTTTTTTTTCGGAGACCTAGTTTCCACGACCCTGCAATCTTGAGGGCCAAGGCTTTAAAGCCTATATACGACCCTAACCAGAGCGACGTCGTCGCATGGACGTTCTCACCTTGTGGAGGTAGATGTTCTGGCCCTTCGCTCGAACCCTAAACCCCAAAACCCTAAAGCCTAGAACCTAAACCAGCAAGGTTGCTCTGGCCAGTGGATACATCACCCAGGATCCCTTCCAAAACCCCCTCCCGCCCCAACCGAAAACCCCAAAACGCATAGGCGCGCACAGGCGCCCGCCACCTAGAGCCCTAAACATGGTGCCCACAGCCATGGCGCCATGTGCGCCAGACACTCAAAGCTGCCAGAAGCCCTACCCTTACTTACAGCCAATACATGAACTTCAAAAACTTTTTGGGATTTCCTAGTTTTGTAGGAACAATGACAAGTTTAATCTTCTTCTTCCTTGGTTCTTGGGACTTTTTGGGTTTCCAAATTGTAGGAATAATGAAGGTTAGTCTTCTTTTTCCTTGGTTCTTGGGGAAGTAAGTACCTGACTCACGCCCAGGCCGCGGCAGCGAGCCGATTTGTGAGGCGAGCTGGGGCAGTTGGGTTCCACCCAGTTCGGCGAGCAGTTGAGGTCTTTAGGGTTTAGGGTTTAGGGTTTAGGGTTTACCCCGAAGAAACCCTCTGAGACATGCAGGTTGAGTGAGACATCCGGTGGCGGGAGGGGTGTTGTACATGCTTGCTGTTGGCTTTGCGTTTTGACCGGCGGAAGGCATCACGCACAAAGGAGCCGGCAAAAATCTGAAGAGGCCGTGGGCACTGATGCATTTGCTGCTGTAGGATTGTTTTCAACACTGTATTTGCTCAATCTACCCTGCAGTGGTGCCTTGCTCAGTGCTTCTTCACATTCGTCCAGCGAGGCGACCGAGAAAGATCTACCGTTGTCCATGGAGCGGCACTACGAGGTGCTAGGTCTGCGGCCAGGCGGTGATGCAATGATGCTGGTGTCTGCTGCGCCTCCCATCCCATCCCAATAGAGAAGCACCAGTGCCAGGCACCCCGACTGAGGATGTGCATGCAGCCTACAAGCGTCTTGGGGCGACTTTGGGCGACGAGCCGGCCTTTGCAGCTGTGGGTTCCTTGGGTAGTTGCCTACAAAGTGCCCGGGGCACGATGCAGGCTGGTGCACGGGCCAAGCGGTTGAGGGCCGCGACTGCGGCTTACGCCGCTCGGCTCGGACGTTTGGCCCTGCCAACTAGACGTCGCTCAGCCAATGCACTCGTGTCAGGAGGCCATTTGTGAGCATTGTGATGAGCGCCCATGGTCTCGGATGCCGCCGCCTTCATAGTCGAACGGAACGTCCAGTTTTCAAAGTGCTGTCTCATGATATCTCATGATGCAAGGCAGAGCAGTCATGTTCAGCGTTGCGCATTTGGAAGCTGGTTGGCGACTGGCCACAAGCCAGAAAGACACTTGTCTCACAGGCGACTTGCGACCCGCAGCAAAGGTCTGGGAAGAAGGATGGGTTGTTTTTCGCAGGCTGAGTTCGGATGACTGTCGGAAGGCTGGTGAAATTCTATGTATACAGTAGCTTGCAATGGGGGAGGCAAAAGTGTGCTGCTCATGCCTGTCAGCGCATTGTCATTGTGCCTCGATGGATCGACAGATTTCTTGCGTTGCCGAATCGTAGAACTGCAGGTGGTGGAGACCTCCGATCAGATGAATCGCTTGATCCGCGAAGGAGCCGTCGCAGCCAGAACGGAACGGTTGATAGTTACGGTCGGCTGGGCAAGGCTAAGCCAGGGCTGCTTCTTTGAGAAGCCGCTGACTTTGGCAGGCTTCTCTCATCGGACAACCACCACGACAAGCATGAACGAGAGGTCCTCGCGCTCTCATTGCGTCCAGTTCCCCAGATCGTCACGCATTCTATATCAGCATCCGGACATTGTCGTTTGCGTGCATGTGCCATGCACTTTTGCCACAACAAATGAGACCACATACCGTCAGAAGCCACGTGCATAATGACAGAACGTAGGATGTGCAGATGCATAATAGTTTTACAGTATATGTACTTGTATATGTACATGTTCTAGACATTTTTGTGCAACTCGAGGCATCTGCGAGCATGTGAACGCACGTGAAGTACAGCTGCTGGGACACCCATACATACTCGATCTGCCAAAAAAGCGACCGACGAATAAGCTGCCTGGGCCAAACTGTGTCTCAGCGGACCTACATTTCGGGCCCATGGATGTACGAAACTGGTCTTCGTGGGTTTGGGGGGCCTTGCCAACAACCACCAGCCAGTGAAAAAGCTGATATGGCCAACTACAAAAACCACGATTTCCAAACCACGTGAATGGAACTCGTGGACATACCCTTTATAGGGGTAAGGACTGAGGGCTTTAGGGTCTGAAAGTTTTGCTCTGCCGCTTTTTCAACCGCCAGCCGAATATGGCCCACAAAGAAACCAGTATTTCCAGATCAATGCTCTGAGTTTCAGTTTCGTGGGCCTCGTTCGACCAGAGAAGCTGTTTGGCGAAAGTTGTGCTGAGAAGGCAATTGTCGTTGCCAGTGCAGATGAACTCGTTTCAGGTTCCTCCATCTAGGACACAACCGGTATAGACATACATTTGTTGTGTGTGTGTGTGTATGTGTGTGTGAAAATGTGTGTGTGTGTGTCTATATAAATAAATAGATATATATATATATATATTTATTTATTTATATATACATATATATATATATACATGCGCATGGATTGAGAGGCTCGCCTTCGAAGGCTCCGCAACCCGAGCTCTACAGCAAGACTACAGCACCCTGCACCCTAAACCTTGTAAAACCCTAACCTCCGCAAAAACCAGAAACATTACTGTAAACCCGAAGCCCTGCCAACCAAGAGACCTTGGCATATTCCCAAATATACTAACAGTCTGTAATAGGGATTATGATGGCCCATATTGTAGTACCCCCTAGAATAGGGGGTACTAGAATCTGTAGTAAGGACTCTTAGCATAAGGGGGAACATCCCAATGTACGAGGCGTCAAGAGTCGGCCTTCAGGTCTTCACCATATGTCTGCACCACCACGACCTGTCAGACAGCTCGAGGCGCCCAGCGCCCCGTTGCAAGGGTGCCCCAAGTGTCGAAGCCCTAAACCCTACACCCTAAACCCTAAACCCTAAACCCTAAACCCTAAACCCTAACCCTTAACCCTAAACCCTAACTAGGGAGTCTCGGGGGTGTAGATGAGCCCGCAAGCATGCTGCTGGAGTCTTGCTCGTGCGCCTCGCTTTTCGCCAAGTCTTATGCTGATGCGCGCTGCCCGGCTTCTCTATATCCCTCTTGGGATTTTATACTTTTAATTTATATAAAACCCAAGAGGATACTAAAATAGTATTTTTAGTAAGGTTCTAAGGGGAGTATCGTGTCTACTGTAGCACTGGCATACACTGGCTGTGCTCTGAAAGCTAGTTGGATGTTTAGGACAACCTCGATCACAGGCAATTTAAACCCCAGGAGAACAGAAGCAACACAAAGGGATAATTACCCTAAACCCTACACCCCAAACCCCAAACCCTAAACCCTAAACCCTAAACCCCCACCACCCTAAGCACCCACTTCATGTAGAGGTTGAACTTGCCTGCCCGCTCGCGCGAAATCTCATGGCTCCAGGAAGGAAGTCCCCCCAGGTCCCTTGAGTTGGGACACCCTGGGATCCGGGCCCATCAGACCCCACCAGCAAACAGCACCACGGGGTTTAGGGTTTTGAGGGTTTATAGGGGGTGATTTCTCATGAGTACCTGGTATGCTCAGATGTGCCCTATACGGGGGTTTATAGACAGCCGGGGCCCGGGTGTGGGCAAGGTTTCACATCGCGGCCTGTTATGGATCATGGCCGACGAGACAACAGACCCCCCATGATGGCAGACGGCTCTTCCGCCGGAGCCCCGTGAGTTTTTGTCAAGAACATATATATACAGGAAGAACAGAATGTTGTAGTATCACTATAGTAGTATTCTTATACTATCTGCAAATACATAAATAAGTAAATACATGTATATGTATTTATATATATATATATATGAATGCATGTATAGGAATATATAGCAATATAGTCTGATGTTAAGCAGCCCCGCGCCTTCAGGCAGGCTACCTGTGGTGCTTCCAGGGCTTGGCGGCTTGGGCTTTGGGCTGCCAAGAGCCAGAGAGGCGGGGGAAATCCAAAGGGTTTAGGGTTTAGGGTTTAGGGTTTAGGGTTTTAGGGTTTTAGGGTTTTAGGGTTTTGGGGTTTTAGGGTTTTAGGGTTTTGGGGTTTAGGGTTTTGGGGTTTAGGGCTTAGGGAAGTCCAAGGCTTCTGATGACAGCCGAAAGGTGCCATGTAAGGGGTTTGGGGTTTAGGGTCCCCACATGTGGGGGGCCCTACCATACATGCAGGATGGAGTGCTTGAGCATCTCTCCAGTGCGCAGTCACGACCAGTCGGCGGTGTAACGAAATCGCTTCCCCTCCCTGACCAGGACGGCATCTCATGAAGACCTGCTCGCACTGCTGCCTTCTCCAGAGGTCACGACAACGGCTGCCGGCTTCAATGATGGTCGCGGGGGGGTTCCAGGATTGTTGGGTGGTGGGTGCAGCATGTTCCCGGCTCAAGGTTCTGGACTTCTTGCAGCCTTCTGCGCTTGGAGTCCTGCTGCTTGGTGGCAAAGCCTCTCATGACCACCAGCAATCACCCCTAAACCCAAACCCCCCTAAACAAAAAAAAAACCTCAAACTTTAATGCCGGTCGTGAGGAACCACTGGATCCAGTCGCCTTAAACCCGAAACCCGCCTTGCCTGCTTCTGCTAGCGTGAGAGTCGAAACCCAAAGCCCGTAGCCATTTTGGCTCAAGCAACCCTGAGTCAAGACTCGGAAAGCTCAGAGCACACAGCCCGGCTGCTTCACGCCATGTCGATGCCTGTAAAGCTTGAGGAGGAGGAGTCCACCGTCGCTTCGGAGCTGGAGCATACCAACTGCAGCAGCACTCTGGAGCACACGGGCGACACGCGCGGCTTGAAGAAGGCTGCATCCTACCTCTCTCAATGCACGACACTGTCTGCTGGCCTGAGCCATGTGAGTCACGAGAATCTGAGCGTGGCAAGCGAATCACAGGTGTCAGCTCCGGAATTCTCGGCCATCAAGCCGGATGTTGAGAACGCTTTGGGGGTGGAGCCCCCAGAAGTGATCAGCATCTGGACGTGGCGTTCCATTGGCATCGTGGCGAATGGATTCCTTCTTGCTTTCATGAACGCCACATGCACTGGGGTTGCATACGGTTTCTTCCTTGGCTACATGGGTTTGGATTCCTATGTTATGTCGTCCATCACAGCACTCATGAAGCTTCCAGACGTGCTGCTTCTACCGTTCGGTGTGATGACCGACTGCCTCCCCATTCGTGGCCAACACAGGAAGCCTTGGTTGCTGGTGGCCTGGTCCATTGCAGGCATTGCGCTCCTCGCCATGAGTTTGAAGCCACAGCCCGCCCCATTCTACTGCCAAGACGCGAATGGTGATTACGACTGGTACGTGCCGCCGTGCAATCCTGACATTCACAAGGAGAAGAACTGGTACGTTTTCCCGCTGTTCATGCTGACCGCAGGTGTGCAGCTGGGGAGCGTGGCTGGTGAAGGCCTGCTGTTGGAATACTCCCAGCGTGAGCCTGTCGAACGCCGTGGGCACATCAAGTCGGAGATGACGATGGCATGCACGGCGGGAGCTTTGACGTCGTCTTTGTTCCTTGGCATCTTCATGAATGGCAAGGCATATTTGGGAACATTCGACTGGGGGTTGTCCTTCAGCGGCCTGATGAGCGTTTGCTTGGTCTTGGTCATCTTCATCATCCCAATTACCGTGCTTTGCGTCCATGAGCCCCCGAAGTCTGGGCAGCGCACCTCGTGCCGTGCCCATGTAAAGTCTTCCTGGGAGCTCGTTCAGAAGAAGGCTCTTTCGAGCCTTCTCTTTTTCGCTTTCTTCGTCCAGTTTCTTGTCTCCCAGACGACGACCGCCGGACCAATGGTTCGGAGCCAGTGGGCACACGTGAAAGTCCTGCAGCAGCAGATGTTTAGCATGGCTGGGTTGGCCGTCATGATGGCAGCAACCTGGATGTACAAGATGTTCTTCCTGCAAGTCAGCTGGAGAAAGGCCATCTGCATCGCCATCGTCACTGTCACCGTGTCCGACGCAATCCCAACCTTCCTCACGACCTTTGGCGTGGTGCGGAGCCAGTACTTCTACCTCGGCGAGGACGTCGTTGGAAGCATTCCCATGGCCGTGTTGCAGTTGGTCTCGAATCTGATGATCATTGAGCTGGCGGAGACGGGCCGCGAAGGACTCTGCTATGGATTGATCGGCACACTTCAACACTCCGCCATACCGTTTGCCACCGTCGTCAGCAATCAGATCTACGGGCTCTTCAACCCCAAGTTGTCCAACCTCGAGAACTACGTCATGGACACCCCCGCGTTCCGGTCGACCGTTGCGTGGTCCTATGTGCTGACGTACTCGACCTCCTTCATCGCGTTGGGCTTTCTTCCCCTGATCCCCTGGCAGAAGGCGGAGGCCCACAGGCGGAAGAAGGAGTGGAGCTCCAACTCCCTCATGGCAGCCATGGTTCTGGCGATCCCAGCCGCCTGCTTGATCTACGGAATCATTGTCTTGATGCTCACAAGCCAGCCCGAGACGGCTTGCCTTCGATGGGTGGGTGGCCAGGGCTGCGAAAATCTCAGCTGAGTGCACCCTTTCGGGGAGCTCCCTGACTTCCTTTGAGCCCATCTGCGATGTTTCGATTCCTTGAGCCCCCCCCAACCTGCTCAGAGGTCCGATTTTTGAGTCCAGGGTCTGGAGGATCCTGCGGACGGCGTTCAAACGGACCCACATGGCAAACGGAGGCTGCAGGGCGAATTCACCCATGAGCTCGGTGGGAGAAACCACCGAACCGGGGTAGTGCATGTGTCGCAAGGATTCGGATGGAAATCCTGACAAGGGTGCTCGTAGCTTTTGATGTTCAGGTTGACTGCTTCAAATCCGACGTGACACTTAGGCTCTAGACTGCAGGCCCCGTCCAGGAGGCATCACGGATTTCCACAGTTTGTTTCCTCAAGGGTCGCACGAGCATGGCACTCGGTAGCCCTGTTAATCTTGAGACCTTGCAGATTGGGGGATTTGTAGATGTTTCAGAATGCATCTTATGGGCATCCGCAGCCTGCGGTGGGAGACTGGCATGCCGGAAGACTGTCACAAGGACGCTTCCCTTGAGAGCATGGCAGTAAATCTTTTCGGCACACGGACACAAGAGTCTGACCGGGGCCGCAAATTCTACAGCCTGATTGCGCAAGAGCCGCATCAATCATCTGCCCAGTCTGAGTTGCAGGTGTTCTGTCGTATCCATCTATTGTCTTCAACCTGCTGTTCAACCCAACTAATTCATTCTCTTAAGTTTCACTTCTTCATCTGCCCTCAAATCTGGAACTCACCCTGGGCGTTTTCTATGACATCATCTTCCGGGCTAGCCAGGGAAGGTGCAGCAGCAACTTTCCGCCACGGGTGGTCACCAGTGCAGGGATAAGGATGCAGCTTAGTGCATGCCTCCAGCTCTTGAGAGTTCTCGGGTTCGTGGTGCGGGATGTGGAGCAGACTGCTGCAATCCTTTCAGCGTGTAGCCGCCTTGGGCCTTGTCCCAGGGATTATGCGAATTTGGGGGCTTCCGATGATTTTGTCGAGCACGGGCTCTGAAACCACAATCTTGCAAGAAGAAAGGGCCTGAACCGTCTGACTCTGGAGAACGATCTGCCTTGTGGAAGGAGCACGGCTTGGAATACCTCGGAATGGCTCAGTTAGTTTTGGACAAAGCTGTTGAATGTATCGCTTCCAGTGGCAACAGAAAAAGTAGTCATGTCTCTGACTGCTCATGACTGACGGACGTTTGCATCCCTGCAGTGTGGTTGCGAGGCTGCCAGGCAGGCGACCCTAAACCCTAAACCCTCAACTCATCTGGATTGGGCATCTCAGGGCTGGAGCTTGTTGGTCGTGCCGTCGCCTCGCGGACTCAGAGGAGGGTTCTGTGAGCTTGGGGCTGGAGGGTTTAGAGTTAAGGGTTTAGGGTTTAGGGTTTAGGGTTAGGGAGGGTTAGGGTTTGTGTTTAGGGTACCTGCTTGCCACAACTACTAGTATTTGTAGGCTCAAAAATGGGAATTGTGAAGGCAAAACCTGCTTTGGCCTTGAAGGAGGTTTGGCACAAAGCCTGCATCCGGGCCTGGGCCAGCAAACAGCATTCAGCGAGGATGAGGTGCGCATGCACCTATCGTTGAGAGGTGTTGTTATTATTAGTAATTATTATGATTATTGTAGGTGCCGAAATCTGGGCTTCATCTGCAGGTTGCATTGAAGTGCTGTAGAAACCAGCATCCGCAGCTTCGTCTGCAGGTCGTGGCTGGCTGAATCGAGCCCCACAAGGGGAAACAGCGACCTGAATGGATTGCGCATGGAGGTATGCTATTTTGTGTTCCTGCAACAAACCTTGCGGAAGCCGTCCTACTTGTCTGTAAGCTTCGAAGCCACGAGCGGCGATGTTCGGGGTGTAGGCATGTGGCAGTAAGCCCTGTGTGCGCAGGGTCAGTTCCCGTGTGCCCGGTGCAAGAACTCTGAAGTGTAGAAGGACGTGCCTGCAGCAGTTGGTAAGAAGGCAGATGGTTGGAGTCTAGCCCGACATCCAGAGTCTGCAGTGCTCAAGCCAAGCATCTTCCGCCTGTCCCTGAGGTGACGGCTCTCTGTGCACAGAGGAAGAGAGTTGGAAGGCTGCAGGGTGAAAGGATCGAAAGTTCATCAGTTTCCGGAGTGACAAAGCGTTCAACGTGTCGGAAACTCCCACACTCCCCATTTTTGCGGACAAGTTGCTAAATAAATCCCAAGTTCCAAAACTCCCAAGTTGCAAATGTAGAGAAAGTCCAAAGCTTCAAAACTCAATATCCACATTCCAAAATACCAAACACGTCGAACTCGAACTGCAAAACACATATCCAGCTTGTAGGTTTGGAATTCTGCAAAGTCCTAGTCCTAGCTGGTGTTTTTGGATGACTTTTGAACAAGCTGGGGATCGCGCATCCAAAGCACATCTTCTGAATTTTGGCAGCGCAGTCTCCAGAAAGTCAAACGTGGGTTTTGTTCGGAGGGCGTAGCAGCGTAGCATATACATGCATATGTACATGTACATGTACATGTATATGTATTTGTATGTGTATATGCATATATGCATATATACATACATATATATATGTGTATATATTTATATTCATATTTATATTTATAATTATATGATTAATTAATTTATTTATTTCTGTATGAATTTATGTATGTATGTATGTATGTATTCGTATACACACATACACATGCAAATTGACTCATAGAAAAATCACATATGCACGTACAGGAGATGCGCATGTATATATATATATACACCGAATCTATACCATATTTATATATATATATGTATGTATGTGTATATATGTATATATATATATATGTTTACAGTTATGGACATATTTCTGCATGATGTATGTACTTGGTGCTAGTCCGACAATGGGTTGGTGCTAGTCCGAGTGGGTTCAGGGCTTAAAAGGGTTCAGGGCCGCGGAGAAGTTCTGCAATTGGGATTTGCAATGTTGCCCTTGTGGGGGGGGGGGGGCCTTGCGTGCAGAGAGAGAGACAGAGAGCAGGTGTTCTCTCGTTGATTATTGCGCTCGAGGTCTTGTAACACCTTGAGCTTGAAAGTATTTTTACCCAAAGCCGAAAGTCTTAACTCGAATCCCTACGCAAAAATGTTACAGCTCCAACCCAAGTCTCATGCCCCCCAAAGCATCTGGCTTAGGGTTTAGGGTTTAGGGTTTAGGGTTTAGGGCGGCATGCAAGTAGGCTCGGTACGTCTTCGCGCTGAAAGACCGCCACCGCTGCCGCATTCTTCCAGAGGACGGTGTGTGCTCGAATTCCGGATACCCCGAAACCCTAAACCCTAAACCCTAACACAACAGCACGTGCCAGGAGCTTTGTTGGGACTCTGGGCGCGATGAGATGGGCAGGCCCTAGTCGCTTTTCATCGCATGGCCTGATACCGATTCGGAACTTCATTGAAATTGAGGCCAACCATGCCAACAAACTCAGCAAAAATCCCAGCCTTAAACCCTAAAGCCTAAACCCAGCCAACCACGACCGAACTGACCGAAATGACACGAAAGGCCTCTGCCACGGCGCTGGCATCTCAAGATGCACCTAGGCCGTGGCTTGGCCGCACCATCATTCAGACAGGCAATTCAGGCCCCTCCCCCCCTCCACTCACCCGCTTTGAAGATCCCTTGATGACGTTTTGTTGGGGGTTTGACAAAAGCATGAGGGTGCCTCTTTTCTTGAAGATTCCGACAAGAAGGATTATGATGCGAGTTTGGGGCATACGAGGGGTTACAACCCTATTTTGGGAAGTGACCATTTGTTGGCATTTTTTTGATTCTACATGTGAGGATATCCCCCCCCCCCAAAAAAAAAAAACTAGCAGTCCTTAATAGGGATTCTAGTAACTCTTATGAGAATCCCTAGAAGGACTCTTAGTATATCATTCCTCAACAAGTGCAAAAAAAGAGTACCCCTATTTTCGGAAACCCCCCTGTGAGGTTGGGTTGACAAGGAGGTCATCTTTAGCCCCGGAGGAGGCCGGCCAAAGCTCACAGATGTGGGGCGCTTCAGGGAATCCAGGAGTCCACGGTACGATGTGAGTGTGCTGTGTTCCCTAAGCCCTAAACCCTAAACCCTAAACCCTAAACCTTATAAACCCTAAACCCTCAACCCTGCTGCCAGCTCTGTCAGGCTCCTTTGCGGACTTCGACTTCCGAGTTCTTAACTTCCGGGTCTTCCAGGAGACTGCAGCGGATAACTGGCTTGGTTCTTTGTAGGGAAATGAGGGGCCCTATATATGCCGTTTAGGGTTTAGGGTTTAGGGTTCTAGGGCCCTCATTCCCTACTAAGAATCAGGGGGATAATCGGATAGCCCTGATAGATGGGGATGGTGCCGCGCTGTAGGAGCTGCCTTGGAGACCTCATCCAGGCCAGGCCATGTTTAGAGTTTGGGGTTTAGGGTTTAGGGTTTAGGGTTTAGGGTTCAGGGCGGACGCTGAAGCTTGGGCCTGCGATAGCAGCACAACTGGCTTCAGGTACCAGCGAAGGTCCTTGGGAGGACCCTGGTCCTGGTTTCATGGGTCGGGGCCTTGGAAAACCGGTGTGAAGAGCCAAGGAGCAGCTTCAGTCTGAAGCACCCCATCTCGCAGCCTAAACCCTAAACCCTAAACCCTAGAACGCCTCGATTGGCATCTTTGCCTTCGCCCCTCGCACACCTTGAGGGCGTGAGGCCTTATGGCCACCAAAGAGTAGGCCAAAAAGCCGCTCCGTGAACAAGAGGGCACCAAGAAGCAGGGGGTAGATTGAAGTTTCCGGCTGGTGGTGCTAAGCTCTGGCTATGCGCAGCCTGCAATGATGAGGCCTGATTGTGAACCTCAGCCAGGCAGACTAACAAGATGAGACTGAGGGCCAGGTTTTGGTGTTGACATCCGAAGGGGCTAGTCTCATCCAGCATGATGTGGAGAGTCCTCCACTGAGGCCATGAGCCCGAGGCAGATGAGGAGGTTGCCATGCATGGGATGAAGTTCGCAGAATTTCGTATATATGTATAGACATATATATATATATATGTA